GTAACCTTCGATCTTTGTAATGATTGATTGAGTGCCAATCTAACAGTTGTTCTCAAATTTCTAACAATATCTTGTTCTAAAGTCAATTATTGGCTCATATCAACAATATTAGTTCATTGTGTCATCATAAATTTATGAAGGGATGTTAATAGTTATTATATTACCATATTAAATTTATCTCATATATATACTTCTTATTTATTAAAAATATATAGTATTTATTATTATAATATCCTTTTTATAAAGAATATTCTTGAGTCTAATTTTAAGATCATGTCAAATATTAACAACCCTACTCTTCGTCACCATCACCTTTCCTTCAACCTTTCTTTCTCTTTTGTTTCTTTCAACAAAAAGTCTAGTTAGTTGTCCCGTTTATCCAGTGATCAAAGCATTCCTTACCAAACACAAGCCCAAAATAACATTCCTTTTATTTTTCTCCAAGCTAGTGCGTAAAGCTAAAATAAGAAATAAGATATTGCATATATACTCTTCCACCAATATTTCCAAGGCTAGATATTGCATATGTCTCTCGGGTTCTTCAGCTCAACTATCTCAGGCTACTGCGTCCTAGCTTCTTCAACCAAGCTAAGCAAGGAAGAAGTAAGATATGCTCATCTTTCCTTAGTTTTTGTAGGTACCAACGATATAATTCAGATGCTTTTAAACAAAATTATCTACTTATGAGTCCTGTTGAGTTTGGTACATATAAATTGTGGTGATCTAATTATTCTAAATAGTTTTTTTCTTCCATTCAATTGCTGCTGAAGTCCTTAAAGCTATTGCTGTTAAAAGAGGATATATAGCTTTCCGTTTGAATTGTTCGCAGTAGCTAACTAGAATGAGGAAAGGGAAGACTGAGATAAAGAGGATTGATAACGCTGACAATAGGCATTTCACGTTCTTTAAGAGGAAAGGAGAGCTTCTGACAAAGGCAAATGAGCTCACCATTCTCACTGATGCGGAGATCGGCCTTATTATCTTCTCTAGCAGTGGAAAGCTCTACGAATACCACAGTCCGAGCGCAAGGTTTGTGATCATTATATCTATATATAACATTTTAATTTAAAATTCAACTTTAGTTCTAAGGTATAAATGATCAAACTAATTACAATACATAATTCTAGTCGTTTTGAATGGTTTGTACTCATATTAAAATTAATTTTATTATTAACTGCAGCATGGAAGAGATCATTAATAAATATGGTAAAACTACCAACATCAACTTGGAGGACCTTAACCACCAGCAGGTATGACTTCTCAGTCTTATATTTTTCAATGAGCTGAGCTAAAAATAAAAGTTCTACTCTAATGCTTAATTAATATAGAGATTATTATTATTAGTGTTGATATTAATTATAATACTAACCATTAAGCAAAGGAATATTAATTTCTAAACTGACAGAACATCTGGTTACAATTTCATTCAATTTTGTTAATTATATTATATTATATAATTCCAAGTTTATTTCAAATCTGTAGCAACTCCATAGTGAGATGGTGAAAATAAGGCAAGAAATCGATGAGCTTCAGATGAGAATTAAGCAGTTTACTGGTGAAAACATGACTGGCCTAAGGTAAAGGAGATGAATCTTCTTGAGCGGTTTGATCAAATTCTCTATGATTCTACAAGTTTTCTTCAACTGGGCCCACAGATGCATTCGTTTAAGTTGCAAGAGACCAAGCCTAATCTGCAAGGGAGTGGCCTTCGCCATGATCATGAACTCGAGCTCTGGTAATTATCAACTTAGTTTTAATCTTTTTTTTTTTTAATTCCTTTTAGGAATGCATGCTTCTGCTATAATTAATTAGATGCATAATGCAAGTACTTAATTTTAATTAAAACCATATCAATAGTTTTAATAATTAAATGTTTTTTATTATTATTTTTTTGTCTTGCAGAGTCGCAAGCTGAAGGAAGAAGTTATGGAAGCTCGTTTGAGGAGAAGCAGCTTGCAAATAGCCTAATTATTTATTTTATATACTTAATGAATGTAGAAGATCTATATAACCATATAAAACTTTTATTTTATTTATGGTGTGTGATGGAAAGAAACTAAGTCCTTCATAGAACCTCTTTAATTTGCATAGCCTGCTTATGGTGTGCCAAAGTAATTTACTTTCTAACAAAGCATATTCTCATATATTACATGAAGTCCTCATATTTGAATTTTTTATATATATATAAAAAATCCTCGGAGGAGCCTATGCCTAATTAAAAAGGGCACATTCTTTTTAATAAAATTTTGCTGGTTGATTTTAGAAATATTATATTCATGAGTTTCTTGCCTTGATTTAGGCATCACGTGATTTTTTCTAGCAATTCTACTGGGGGTAATTGGAATAATGTGTGCAATGCTAAAAATAATCTTATTTACTGAATATTGATGAAACTTATTGGAGACCAAATGTTATTTCTAAACACCTATTTGAGGGTGAAAGATATACTAAGTACTTTGTTTCAGTACCACTGATGATTGACTGGGTGCATCAAAGATGAAGCATGCATAATGAAGAGTTGAGAAAGACCATGTAGGATTTGATGAAAGATAATAGTAGGGTTACTATATTGAGGGGGAGAAACTCTTACATCATGGGAGGTTTATGATGCCACGAACCTCCATTCATATTCCCCATCTATTGCAAGAGTTCCATGGGAGTGCAATTGGAAGCCATTCCAGAGTAGAAAAGACAAACATGAGACTTGTTGTTGAATTATACTGGAAGGGAATGCATAAGGAATTGGAGGAGATGGTGGAGAGGTGTGCTATGTGTCAGAGCTAGAAACAAGTATATGGCTATGGCTCCAGGTGGGTTACTACAACCATTATCACTTCCAAAAGAGAATGAGAGGAAGTATCCATGGATTTTATAGATGGCCTACCACGATCAGAGATGTTCATAATTACTATGGTGGTTGTTGATAGGTTTGAATAAGTATGCACATTTCACTGCTTTACAACACCCCTAAATCTTAGTGATAGTGGCAATCGCATTCATCAATGAGGTGGTTAGACTACATGGGATTCTAGAGTCAATATTGTCTAATAGAAACAAAGTGTTCTTCAGTCAATTTTGGAGGGAGTTGTTCAGGTTATAGGGAACTATTGTCAAGAGAAGCATCGCCTACCATCTTCATAAGGACGGGCAAAGAGAGATAATAAATCAGAGTTTGGAAACTTATGAGAGACATTTAGTGTAAAGTGGGGAAGAAACTATTCTTAAAACTGCGACCTTATAGGCAAAGGATAGTGGCCAACATGAGGAACAAGAAATTGGCCCTATGGTACTTCGGCCCCTAAGAGATTTTGGACAAGATCAAAACAGTGGCATACCGTTTGAAGTTACCCCGATGCGCTACCATACACCCAGTCTTCCATGTGTCCCAGTCGAGGAGAGCACTAGGGGGCATGCAATTAATACGGAGTTGCCAGCTACACTGATAGAGGAGTTGGAAGTGATATTAGTACCACTATAGTTGAGAGGGGTAAGATCGGATAAAGAGGGAAATAAAAAAGTACTTATTAGATAGAGAGAACTGTCCGATTTCGATGCCACTTGGGAGCCCTATAGATCAATTTCCTTCATTTCACCTTGAGGAAAAATTGAGTCTTTGGGTGTGGGGTAATGTTAGGCCAGCTCTAGAGCAAGCTGAACTCGTCCAACCTAGATCGATTCTTTATAACAAGAGGATGGGGCTGAACTAAGGGGAAGAGAGAGAGGGGCCGGTTGGAGAGATGGGGCCCACGACTTGATAATTAGTTTATTACACAACAACATATTTGAGGATTATTATTTAAACCTTTCTAAAAAATTATTTTTGAAAATCCAAGAAAATTTTAAAATTACTAATTAACTTCTCTTTTGGTTAGCTTTGTGACAGTTCAATAAGGTCTAACAACCTACTCGAACTTTCAGTGTAGAGGATATATTTTGATCCTTTATGGTGATATCACTCTCATATATTTTTATTCTTTCACGAGTCTAATAAAAAAGAGTTTGCTTGTCATTTATTCTATGGCTGGCCAATTTTCTTATTTTGGATTGATAATGTAAAGTGTGTGTTAAATAGTAATGAAGACTCTTATTCTATAAATGTTAAATGATATTAATTTAATGCACATTGCGGTCATATTTATAGTTAAAATATAGTGTGATGTATAGCCTCAACAGAGCAATATCAGAATTAGGAATATTAAGATATTATTTGTCAAGAGAAGCACCGCCTACCATCTTTAGAAGGATGGGCAAATAGAGATAATAAATCAGAGTTTGGAAAGTTACTTGAGGTGTTTTTCTTCTGAAACACCGAGGAGGTGGGAAAAATGGTTAGCATGGTTCGAGTATTGGTACAATATATCATACCATTCTGCTTCTTAGATTATCCCCTTTAAAGTGCTGTAAGGAATAGACTCATCCCACTTGGTGCACTTTGGGAAAGAGAGCCCACTAGTTTCCTCAGTAGAGCAGTACTTGGAGGAAAAGGATAAGTTTTTGGAAGAGTTGAAGAAGCATCTGAAGAGAGAACAAAAAATCATGAAGAAGCAGACATATACACATAGGAGCGACATACAGTTTGAAGTGGGAGAGAAAGTGTTCTTAAAACTGCTACCTTACAGGTAAAGGACAATGGCCAACATACGAAACGAGAAATTGGCCCTAAGGTCTTCGGCCCTACGAGATTTTGGACAAGATCAAAATAGTGGCATACCATTTGAAGTTACCTCCATACGCCACCATACACCATGTCTTCCATGTGTCCCAGTTAAGGAGAGCTCTAGGGGAGCATGCAGTTAATATGGAATTGCCAGCTACACTAACAGAGGAGTTGGAAGTGATATTAGTACCATAATAGTTGAGAGGGATAAGATCAGATAAAGAGGGGAATATAAAAGTACTTATTAGATGGAGAGACCTGCCCGATTTCGATGCCACTTGGGAGCCTTATGAGAGGGTGATCGAAAGATTAATTTCCTTCATTTCACCTTAAGGACAAGGTGAGTCTTCGGGAGGGGGTAATGCTAAGCCATCCCTAAGGCCGGCTGAATCAATCCAACCTGGATCGGTTCTTTGTAAAAAGAGGATGGGGCTGAACCAAGGGGAAGAGAGAGAGGGGCCGGTTGTAGAGATGGGGCTCATGACTTGATAATCAGTTTATTACACAACTACATATTTCAGGATTATTGTTTAAACTTTCTAAAAATGGAATTTGAAAATCCAAGAAATTTTTAAAATTACCAATTCACCTCTCTCTTTGTTAGCTTTGTGACAGTTCAATAAGGTCTAACAACCGACTCGAACTTTTAGTGTAGAGGATATACTTTGATCCTTTATGGTGATATCACTATCATATATTTTTATTCTTTCACGAGTCTAATAAAAATGAGTTTGCTTGTCATTTATTCTATGTTTGGCTAATTCTCTTATTTTGGATTGATGATGTAAAGTGTGTGTTAAATATTAATGAAGACTCTTATTCTATAAATGTTAAATGATATTAATTTAATGCATATTGTGGTCATATATATAGTTAAAATATAGTGTGATGTATAGCCTCAACAGAGCAATGCTAGAATTAGGAATATTGAGATATGATGTTTGTATGTCTAGACATAGGATGTAAAATATTCTGTCTTAATGAAATACTATAATTATAGGAGGTCATAAAATATCATTTCACTTATATAAGCTCGATAGAGATCTTAGTATGCATATACTATGAATCATATATATAATTAAGTGTCACATTCGCATAGATATAAAATTTATGCTCATCAATCCAAAAAAAACTTTATTAAATATTGTATCTAATATTTTTACTATTTTATTCAGCGATAGAATCTCCATAAATATTATTTGTATTTCATTAGGATAATTATTGCAATTAAACTACATGGTAGTAGTTTGTTACAAGTAAACATACGTCCTGATGGATTTGATACTCTACTTTATCATTTTAGTACTTGATTCGGCATGTATTCTTGCATATATTAAGTGGAGTTTTATTATTTTTATATCAAAGAAAACTTAAGCATTATTTAAGGATGATATAGCCCTATATTTTTATACAATTCAAAAATTCTCTCCACTGCCCCCATCACATACATAAGGTCAAAGCTTTTGAAAACTTTTTAATACACATATTTTTAAAATTATTAATAAATATTTATTTATTTCAAGCTCTTTCAATTCATTATTATTAAATGTATTTAGATATTCAACTTTAAAACTATAGTATTAAGGTGATAGACCTTAGGTTGAATGGATCCTTTGATATAAGCTAGCTCAATAGCCTATATAATTATATGAGCTGACTCTTCACTATACTGCGATTCATTGCATGCATTAATTTAATGTAATAGGTAATAGCACCTTTCCCATTTAACATATGAATAGATAGTTTATAGTTTTATTTTTGTATTGATATAGAAACTACTTGGACTAATGTTCTGTGATGCTTTCAAATATCTCTTTATATTTTTAATTTTAAAAAAATATTTATACTTTTATTAAGGTTTTTTTTTTTTTTGCTGAATGAGGTACAAGTAAAGGTTCTCCACCTTGTATATTATTAAAATTAACTGCATGACTTTGATGTTATCATTTAATTGAAAATTATTCTCTTTCTATAACTTGGGCAAGATATATATTTTAGCTTAATAGCAATCCAAATATCTTACCAGCTCATTTTTATAACTTAGGAATTGAACTATAATACCTAAGAGGGGTTGAATTATTATTTTTTTTTAACTAACATGTGAGATATAAAGTACTAAAATTTAAAATCAATGAGAAAATTTTAAAATGTTTAA